AAAGGGGTTACAGGGAGAACAGAGAGAGATGAATTGCAGGTTCCATGCAAAGTTTATATCAGTGGTCGGCAACCTAAGGCACATGGGCCACAAGTGGCCCACGAGGGTCGCTTAACCGGCCCACGAGCCGCCCGCTCGGCAAGTCCCTGTGTGTAGCGCGGCACGGGGACTCGCTTCTGCGGTGCCGGAAATCGTGTCTGCACAGATGCTGGAAATCGCAGGATCTCTGCTGGAGTGAACCAGCCCAGGCGAGGTAAACCTTGCTGACCCCTGGCTTATATCATGCACCAGTTTATATCGTACACTATTTATTGGCTCTGAGTCAATAGCTCAATTTGAAGTTTAAACATGTGTTCTCCAGTTTTTGTACATAAGAGAATTCGCGAATGGACATTCTCACCTTTTGACGCAGAATTTCATTTTCTTCTTGCAGGAAACAACTTCTCTGACATTCTGTCTCAAAGTTCAAGATTACTGGTACAGGTAAGAAAGGTTAAGGGTGAAAAACTTAAAGCAAGAATGGAAGTCCTTCCTCTAAAGCAGACTTTGCCTACCGAATGCTCTCTAGATGTTTCGAAGGGTACCAGGTTGTTTTGTGGCACCTTGAAGACTAAAACACCTTTTATGGGATAACATTATAACAAACCTACCTAGATATGTAGAATGTTGGCATATATTTTACTTTGTAGCTTATCATTGATTTTAACTATTTTTTAATGTTTAAAGTAGCTATTTTTACTGATTTTTTTTGTTCCAAGCAGTATATGAATTTAATAAAATAAATAAATAAATAAATAAATAAATTCCACTGCAACAGACTAACAGAGCTAGCCATCTGGAGATTGATGCCACTTTTACAGCTGTTTTGATTTTCAACAATAGAAAAGGCAATTTAAACCAATCCATTTCTTAACACCTTGACCACCAAAGGCAGCACCAAACAGGTCTTAAGAGTGTCCCTAGAAACATAGTAGTTTGTGAGATCATATTTATCTCACTCCTCACTTGGCATCCCCACTACTCAGGGATTTATATTTATTATATATCTGGGGTGGAAGAAGATGGAGGAATATATATTATCCAAAACAGGAAAAAAAAACCACAACTGGCTGCTACCATCACCTGCCTGTGACTTGAAACACTATCGAGAAAATGCTTGAGCTGCAAAGAAGTAACATAATGCTGACAAATGACTGCAGGTCTCTTGCCCAGTTGGTCTAGTTGTGACATGCCAGTTTTGTGGCCTACAGTCCAGAATAAAATACTCTAGCATTACGTTTGGCCTTGGCTTCCTTAGTATGCAATTTTGATAAAGTGGGGATGAGGACGGTGATCTGCCGAAAGAACAAAAGATATAAATCCACAAGTTGTAGATGATATAGATGGACCAGACTAACAAGCCACACCGTTGCTCTGTAACACACATGGCAGAAAGCTGATTAACACTCTCTAACATGACAACAAGAGAAAGGGAGAGAGAACAAAGGATGAAGCTGTTTCATAATTCAAACTAATTTTTCATATCTAGAAAGGATATGCATACACTGAAATAAGACACTGAGGAAGTTGTGCAGAGAAACGATGAAAGTGTCTGCCCACTGGCGGGAAAAATATGTTGCAAAAGTAGGATTTGCTTCTGGATTGGTGATGAAAGGTAGAACAAACCAGTCCTTCCACTCAGCTTGGTTCTGAAGTTCAGAGGCTTGTTTGAGAAAGAATTCCTGTGTCTTGTCGTTCCTGTTTGTCTAAAACACAGAAAACAGAAAAGGGGCTCAGATTACAAATTTTAATGCTGCTCCGGCAGCTGCAAATATTGGTTTCTGTTCTGGACCCAGCAGGGTGATAGGTGTACTTTTCCCCACCTAACTGCACACCTGCTAGAGAAGAAGGATGTGTACAGCATTTTGTTAGATAAGGCAACATATTCACTCTTAAAACAAACCAATTGTATTTTGAAGAAAAGGTATCTGCTTGACACAAACCTGCACAGTATGAACGAGGTAGTAGCGGTATAAACTAATTTTCAGCTTGTTCACGGTAGGTCGGTACATATCCTCCAATCGACTGAAAAGGCGTCTGTCGAGGTAGCTCCAGTAATCCCGAAGGGCAGCCAGATCATAGCTATGAACGAACTGCAAAAACTGGTCCACTATCTTATCTACCTGAAGAGACATCACAGAACCCCAAAAACCCAGTTAGTTCTTGCCCACGCTAACTGTCAGCTTCTGTCACCAAAAGCCACAACAAAATCACACATAAACGCTGGAGACAAGGTCAGGTTACACAACCTGCATCAGTTATGAGCCTCAAATGGGGAATTCCAAGAGCCACTAGCAATACCTTTCAGCTTTCCTTTTGGGGCTGAGGCACCTTAGTGCCTCTGAGTCACTGGCAGTGCTGAAGGACCTAGTAACATCATTCCAAAGCAGTAAGTCTGTAAACCCGCTTGTAGAACAGCCTCTTAAGACAGCCCTCACCAACTCAATGCCCTCCAATTATTTTGGACAACAACCTCAGCCCTAGCCAGCTGGAATCCAACAATATCTGGAGGGTCACATGTCCCCTACCTCTGATATAAACAAAGCATAGCTTCTATGATATTGTGTACTGACATGGGGGGGGGGGGTTGGAAGGAGAGAAGAAAGAATCAGTCTTGTTTTCTTTGCCAAGATTTTCCAGGCAGATGTTCCCTTCTGTTACAGCAGCTAGGCTTGAAAAGAGGCTATAAATGTATGTTTGACTGATATTTTCAGTTTTGTCACATCCAAATGGAACTTTTATCACTCAGTTTTTGGAGACTCGCTGAAAACAAGGAAGCTGGTTTCAACAAAACATTGCTAACTTCTTTCAAAACCAGGCTAAAATTCTTGGCACTGTAATTTATCAACAGGCCCAGTAAGAATTATTGTGCTGCACCCACCAACATCCCCTTGTCTATCTAACACAGACTTCCTCAACCTGCTGCTCTGCAGGTGTCACTGGACTACAGCTCCCATAATCCCTAACCCCTAGTGATGCTGGCTGGGGGTGATGGGAGTTGAAGTCCAAGAAGCCCTAGAGGGCACCAGGTTGAAGAGGCTAATCTAGGTCAATGTTCTATCTTCCCAGTTTACTGCTTCCACAAGGCGAAACTCTAAATGAGATTGGCTAGTTACTCAGGTTGCTTGAATCAGGGGGAACAGAATGAAGAAGACAGAAAGATGAAGAAAACTGCCAAAAACCAAATGTAGAGATGGCACTTTCCAACAAGCTTAACTGGAAGAATACCAGTGTGACAGGCAGTTCTAACATCAAAACTAAAGCATTATATGAATAGGTGAGGTGATGGGATTTCATGTTCTGGAGGAATTGAGGAATTGGCAAAAGACCCCCTCACCAAAAAGATGGAAGGAAGGACTTGGCAATAAAATCTGGCAGTTCTTAATATACCCTCACAGAAGGGTCATAATGCAACATAATGATTCATATACAGTATATGCATAATTTTAATCACATATGAAATTATGATTTCAAACATGCAATCCTTTTATCATTTACATTCCCAATCTTATAAGGCATATATTCCCATTATATAGAGTTGCAGCTGAAAAAAATGAAGTGTGGGGTATGGGGCTTGCTCCAATCAGTTTGGGACTGATTTCAGACAGGACTGTTTTCTATTTTCGGGATGAGCAACCACTAGCCCCTAGGCAAATTTTGAGAGCAAGGCCATTTCCTTCACACCAAACTCACATGCCCTATACCTGAAGTCATATGTGAGGTAGACACACAGCAGGCTCAGAAGTGAATCTGAGTTCCCTTTGGGGAACTCAGCACACAGCCAAGCCCTGCAGAAAGCATCGCCCATCAGCTGAATCACATGCATCCTTTTCAGTGTGAAAAACTTCAAGTGTGCTTATTATCACATGCCAACATCCCTTAGCCTGCAGCTATACTGAATATAGACAGTGCAAGTCAGCAGCAAAATTTAAATTAGCCCAGGTTGGTCAGAAGACTCAGACAAGAGGAGGGGAGAAAAAGAAGAGTTCTAATGGGATACTACAGTATTAGAAGAGGGGAGAGAAAGACCAGTTAGAACTTTCCTCTGTGGAATTCAAGAGAATATTATTCAAATTATCTAGGCTCTGTTTAACAAGTGCAATGTGTTGGGTACTGCTTTATACATATCTGAATTTACTGAAACCTCATTCAAGACCTTTGTGTAAAGGGAAACACACTGTGTATTGCTTCTGATGCCAAATATATTTTCGTTGATGCTCTGTTCCTAATTCCAGATGCGTAAGGACTACAGTACTGCAGTTACTCAGCTGAGGAAAAGGGAAGTACTCTGACCCCACTCAGGCTGTCTCCTCTTCCTTGCTAGCCTGCACTTGCTCCGGTGGGGGAGGCCTGCTTAAATTTAGGCACGGGTGCTGCTACAAGGGGCTACGTGAGGCAGCCATTAGGGGGACGCTGGACTAGCTGCTAAGGAACCCAAAGGCCATCTAAACCAACCCGCCCGCAACACCAGGCCCATCTAGCCAGCGGCAGCAAGTGTCAACAAATCCCAGGCGCGGAGCATTTCACACGTAATGCAATGCTGCTCCTTGCAGGTTCGTGAGTTAAATTGGAAAAGGAAAGAGAGGGGCGGGCGGGACCTGCTAACCCCAATTTCTGCTCCCCCAGCCCTTCCTTCCCTCCAGCCACCCGCAGGTCCTGCCGGCTTCCCTCCCGGGCAACCCTCACCCGGAAGCCCTTCTCTTTGTCCGCCTTGATCTCCGCGTCGAACTGCTTCAAGGTGGCCGTGAAGCCGCGGAAGAGCAGATATTCCCGCACCAGCTCATCGGTGCGCTCCGCCGCAGCCGCCATCGCGCCGCCGGGTCACGGGGAACAGGGAGGGACGCTCCGAGCTCCGCGCGCCGCCCTCGCCGCCACGCTCCGCCCCTCGCCCAGGCGCTCCGCCGCCCTCGGTTCCCCCAGCACCGCTTTTTGCTAGAATCGGCGTTTGGCGGCCGGCGGGATCCGGTTGGCTTTTGCTTCGCTTTGAAAGAGAGGAGACTGTGTGGTTTTGTTGGGTTGAAGGCTCGGGCCTGAGCATCAAGGCGGGCGCTTCTCTGCAACCGCGAGTTGGGACCTTCCTTACTGTTAAGGGGAAATGCATCGTTTTAAGCACACGTTTCGAGATTGTAGGGATCCCAGATGCCGCAGCAAACTTGCCGACCATCCAGCCAAGGATTTACCTGCCATTAGCACACATGGTCTTAATAGTTCATCCAGACCTGTCAGCAGGCACTCTATGGACTCTAATCATTGTTATTTTATTATTACTATTAGCCAGTTTGCTCTCTTTCTGGGAGAATTTACTTTCCTGCCTTGTTGCACGCTCCTCTCTCTTCACACCCACCGATATATTCCATTGTTATATTAGTATAGCATTCCCCACCCGCCCTCAAGGTCAGAAAAATAATATCAGTCGCACAGGTGCAAGGGGTTTCTAAGTCAGCATCCATGTGTGTCTGAAAACCCAAGTTCGCAACTGGAATTTTAAACTGAAATGACAGCAAAGCAACATCTTAAGACGTCTGGGAAACAGCACAGCAGCTCTCATTGCTTTCCTTGTAAAATTGCTACACTTTTTTGTATGCGTGCATCCTATTGAACGTTAGCGAGGCGTGCTTCGAGGTCACCCATAAATCATATTCATTATTTTTACATTTTAAATTCTATTTGTTGTCTATAGTAAAGCAGCAAGGGAGAATTGTTCTTCCTCAGCATTTATTTCTTTGCTGCCAGGGACGTGCTACGTGTAGTGTAGTTAACTGCTCAAGATGGCCAAAGCAGTTCTAAAGCAGCTCGGTCTTTTGGGGAAAGGTAGTAGCTTGTATACCCCAAAATACTACTTCGGGGAGCTGGTCAGACCAGGTTGCCCCACTGCAAGCTGGTGTTTTAAAGTCTTCACTCAAGAGGGCGCCTTACAAACTCTCTCTCCGGCATAGTAATCCGCTTACACGTGGATCCACCACTCGCCTTTTCCCTCCCAAATGCAACTTAAGCCCTATCTTGGGTGGACTGGGCGCGAACTACACGTGTCAGGTGTTTCTTCCGCTAGGCACGTGCAGAGGAAGTGACCCGCTTTAAAGGAGACACCCAGCGCGTACAAACGCTTTCTTCCAGCACACACAACATCCGGTCTAAATTGGGTTGCGTTTACATGGAGATACTCAAGGGACGGCCACCTGCCTCATGCCCGTGTGAACACAGCGCTGCACCAGAAACACAAATGCAGGCGGTACTTAACTATGGGTGTATCAAGCGTAAACAACTTCCGTTCCATGTACAGTACTATATTATACCTATGTTAAGCGACACACGAGTAAATACTGTTTGCTGCCCGGTACTTTAAAACCCCCTCAGTCAGCTTCACCCACTTTCCCAAATCTCCGCCCCAGCTTCGCCTCTTTTCTGCCGCTCCCCCGTTTTTCTTTCCCGCGTTTTTGTTGCCCTTTTCCAGCCCCGCTACCAGAACGGCCGGCTCGACACCGGAGCTTTCCTATTGGCTGCTAGAGATGCCTCCTGCGCTCTAATTGGCTATGCGCCTCTCGGCTAGCGCTAGGGCGAGGGGATAGAGCGGGAAGGCGCGCGGAGGGGCGCGTGCTGCTAAAGCTGCGCTGCTGGCTGCTAGCTTGGCGCAAGGTGAGCTGGAGGAGCAGGCGCCGCTTGAAAAGCATCCTTCGCGTGAGGCATCTTCTGCAAAGAGGCGCACAGCGTCTTCATCTCGTATCCCAGGGCCGAGTCTGCAAAGGGGAGAGGGAGGCTGGGGGCATAAAGTAGGGAAGGAGTTGGCTCCCCTAAAGCAGAGCAATGTCTGGAGGGAAAGGCGGTGAAATGTAGTGGAGAAACGGGTGGGGCAGGTGGGATTGTAGATATTTTTCAGCAGCAGCACCGTGGTTGGAGAGACAGCAAATTCCTCCCCCACCCCTTTGAAGTCAGTTGGGAACGTGGGTTTTTAAAAATAATGGAAAGGCTGGTTTGAGACAGCAACGAACTAGTTGAAATTTGCTGTCAGTATTCTGTCTATATGAACTGCAGGTCTCCAGGGTTTCAGAAAAATTCCCAGTGCCCGCTGGGCAATGCCAGGAATCCCGGGAGCTTTAGAAGTAAGGCAGGTGGTCTGCTACCACTGAGCTACGGCCTTCCCCAAACCTTAAAAACACTTTTCTTCTAAATACCAGTTTACTCAGATGTAAGTCTGTATTTGAAAAATGTCACAGTGCTCTTGAAAATACCAAGTGGGAGGGATCAATCCTGTGGTCACTCAGTGTCAACTGAGTTAACTATATATTGCTGTGGAGGAGAATAAGAAATCCACTGACACATAATTAACAGGTGATACCAGACTGCTATGTAAATATCAGGAGCCTTTCCACTCAAGATTTGCAGAACTTGGCAGGAGTCTGCAGCACTGTTTGTTTAATTCAAAATATCAAAAATGAATTATTTGCTTCTGTTGTATAAAATCTCTAATTGCTGTTTGGAGCACAGTCCTTATTCCTTTCTATATATATTTCCAGAACTAAATATTTTTGGCGGCAAAGGATGGAATAAGCCATGAGTCACACCTCAGTTACAACTGGTTTTATCCTAGGATCTCAGTAGGACTGGAGGGATGTAATATATGCTCTGTGTTGCAAAAAGGGTCTGTGCAAGCCTTTTGCACTGTTCTTGAATGCAAAATAAATGTGCACCCCAATCCCAAGCATATTTATTTGGAACTAAGTAAGTCCCACTGAATCCAATCAGATGTCCAGTCAGACATAAGCATGCAGAATTTCAGCCTTAAAGGATCTGGCAGAGATTTGTCAAGAGGATGTCTGGCTAAAACAGTGGACCTATTACTTATGGGTAATAGGGTAACTATTTTCTTCCTGACCACAATTCTGTTTCTTCAACAGCAGCTTGACATACATTGTGAAAGCACACAACAGTTTTCTTATCAGTTTACCTCTGGCCCAGCCCTGGTGTTTCCTGAACCAATTTGATGTAGTGGTTAAGCATGCCAGACTAATTACAAATCCCTGTGCAGGCATGTTGCTAACTTGTAAGTGTAATTTACCTCTCTGAAACAGCAGCTAGGTTGGTAAAACTGTGCTGGCTGAATTTCGTCAGGTAGAGTTTTGTGTGACTGAATGCTCTGCAAAAATATTAAAAATTCATGAACATAAAAAATTAGGTATTTCCTCTTCTACTCCCAGACTTGCTGGTTTTCAGTATATGTACAGTGGTACCTCGGGTTACAGACAGAGAGCCAGTGTGGTGTAGTGGTTAAGAGCGGTAGTCTCGTAATCTGGGGAACCGGGTTCGCGTCTCCGCTCCTCCACATGCAGCTGCTGGGTGACCTTGGGCCAGTCACACTTCTCTGAAGTCTCTCAGCCCCACTCACCTCACAGAGTGTTTCTTGTGGGGGAGGAAGAGAAAGGAGAATGTTAGCCACTTTGAGACTCCTGAAGGGGAGTGAAAGGCGGGATATCAAATCCAAACTCTTCTTCTTCTTCTTCTTCTTCTTCTTCAGGTTACAGACTCCACTAACCCAGAAATAGTACCTCGGGTTAAGAACTTTGCTTCAGGATAACAGAAATCGTGCTCTGGCAGCGGGAGGCCCCATTAGATAAAGATTAAAAACAGTTTCAGCTCAGATTAGCTCAGATTAAAAACAGTTTCAGTTTAAGAACGGACCTCCAGAACGAATTAAGTTCTTAACCCGAGGTACCACTGTAAAAGATTGTGTTGTTGTTTTCCCCATAGGTGAACTCCACCTGCAGGCTGACATGGTGAAATGCAGACATACAAGTTTGCCACCTTATCTACTGTTTTTAATAACTGGGCTTCTGTGCTGGGAAAAGTGTCATCTGCTAAATTTATTTGTGTCAGGTTGTTTTTTTTTCAGAGGACATGAACAGGGCCTAGGAACGCTAATGGATAACTAGGACTCAGAGCTGTCTTTAAGGCTTAGCAGAGGCTAGCAAGAGACAATTGGTTTGGTCAACCCAAGTTAAAATGACAGCCTAACCTAGGTCACTTCCAGATTGAGCATTAATCTTGATTTGTTTTTACAGGTTTGCAGGGGGCTATTTATCAAGCATTTGTTCTGATTTGTTGTGGGGAGGTTATACAACATCCACACTTTCCAGTGCCTTTACAATTTCCTTATCACAAAAGTCCAGTTGTGGGAGGAAAACAGGTTTGTTGCACAAGAGCTCGAAATCATATTTAATTACACAACCTGAATTTGCTGGTTTGAAAATGCTTTGAAATGGGCTGCTTTAAAAATAAAACCCACATTTTGTCTTGAGATGCATTCCTATTTTGGGCTTTACTTCGGATACTCTTTGCACTTCCTATTGTATTTTATTTTTCTAGCTGGGTCTTCTTTTTGCACTCGCCACTGCTGATATTAAGCTGTTTTTTAAGCAGTGGAATGGCATTGTCTTACAGCTTTTGATGGAGACATCTGGAAATTGTAGCACCCCATATGCTAGAGTGACTTCTAAGTATCGTACACGTCTGCAGGATCCAAAGTCGCAAGGGGGCAAAAGACGGTTGTCTCAGGCACGCAACAGAGCTACCTTGGCAGGACTTTTCAACAACCTACGAGAAACAGTATATTCTCAGCAAGATAACTCCACATCAAAGGTATAGAAATAACTCGTAATCAGCACCTATGGGCCCATCTGCACTATTTTTAAAACACTGTTGTTCCTCTTTAAACAGTCATGGCTTTCCCCAAGGACTCTTGGGAACTAGTTTGTTTCCAGGAGTGCTGTGAATTGTTAGGAGACTCCAGTTCTCCTCATAGAACTACAGTTTTTGGGAAGAGTGGTTGACTGTTAAGCCACTCCGAGAATTATAGCTCTTGGAGGAGAATGTTGGCTTCTGAATCCATCTTTTGTTTATGTGTTTTGAGGAATACAACGAAGGGTCGAAACAATCTGCATGAAAGGCCATGCATTTCCTGATCTGGTGGGTATTAATTTACTGTGCTGTCTTCCTTTGCTTTTCATAATCCATTGTACAGTATTTGAAGTCTTCAAATGGATGTTTAGCCGGCAACAAGAAGACGATCAGAAAAATCTAAGGCATATTAAAATGTTAATCTGCTCAGAACACAGCTAGATTGGGCCTGTTCTCTGTTTTTGTTTAGTGTCAGGTTTTATGCAAGGCTAAGAATTATATCCAGGAGCTGGAGAAAACCTTGGAAAACTTGCTGAAAATGAAAGGTATCGTACCAGCACCATGACACCTCATTTAAATATGAAAAACCTTTTCCCTGACTTTTTCAGTAGGCAAATGTACTAGGCAGACATGACTAAAGAGGTAAACTGTCCCTGCAGATGGCTGAGGTTCTTGTTCCTTCTGACATACCATCCTGAGCCTGGTTCTTCTTACAAATAGTAGGTGAGGTGGTAAACCTATATCTTCAACTAGGGATGTTGGAGAATTCTAATGGAAACAGAAGCAGAAATTGCCACTGTTTGTGTTTTTGTCCCAAAGTGCAGAACAGAAATCAATCCAGCAATTGCAATTGGTACTCACTTCTTTTTAGTCTGCAACTGATACCTAATTAATGACCAAATTTTAAACATTGTTCTGACTTTTCCTTTACATTGAAATGAATGGCCTAGGAAGGATTACATCATTAATTATTTCATGCCAGGGTCTCATTCTAGCTCACACCTCCTGCCCCCTGAAATTTATTATGGGGGAGGAGCTTGCACTCAAAGATGAACTATGTGATTAAGTCATATGTATTCTGTCCCTCAGTGTGTTTCAGTAAATGCAGAAGGCGTGCTAGATTTGGACTGGATAGACCTCAATTTTAATCTTTGCTCAGGCTTGAAGATTACAAATTATCCTTTGGTGATGTCACTTTCCCCCCAGGCTATCTTGCCTCTTCCTTTCCCCCCATCTGACCCACTGGTAGTGGCTCTCTGGAGGCTTGGACAGAGTTCCTTTCTCATCCCCTGTGCTACCTGCTCCTTTAATGCTGGGCACTGAGCCTTCTGCATGGCCTCTTCCAAAATAAAGTTGCGGGATTTTTCTGTGATCCCTCATAGGCCCTGTCTTCTCTGGCTTGCTAACTTGATTGTATTTCCTTCTGGAATTTACAGTTCTAGTGCTTATTTCATTTTACTCTGCTTTTCCCTTGGTTTTTACATTGTGATATATAGTTTGATTTTTTTATTGTAAGGTGTTTTGAGCATAAAAAAAGGATGAGGATTTAAAATATATACAGTGGTACCTCAGGTTAAGTACTTAACTGGTTCCAGAAGTCTGTACTTAACCTGAAGCGGACTTTCCCATTGAAAGTAATGGAAAGTGGATTGATCCGTTCCAGACGATGAAAAAACACCCCCTAAAACAGCAATTTAACACGAATTTTACTGTTTCACGAGACCATTGATCCATAAAATGAAGGCAATAATCAATGTACTGTACTATAAAATAAATAAGACAGTATTTTAGATGAAAAAAATTAAAATTTATTTCCAAACTCACTGTTTGGAGGGGGCTCAGGGTCCTCTTCCACAATCACAGTCGCCTTGGCTCCCTGCGTTCGTGGAGGCCTCAGAGAGCTCCTGTGGCTGGAGCCCAGTCGCAGAGTCTCTGCAGGCACCGTGGATGTCGGGGCTAGGCTCCCAGAATTCGCTGAGCCGCTCTAGGCACCGCAGATGTCGGGGCTTGGTTCCCAGCATTCACAGAGGCATCAGAGAGCTCCGTAGGCCCCGCCGATGTCCAGGTTTGCCTCCAGGCAGCGACGAGGCCTCCGAGAGCTTGGCCAACTTACTTCTGGGTTACAATCGTTCGTAACCCGAAAAAACGTAAGTTGAAGCGTTCATAACCCGAGGTACCACTGTATACCAGTATCTTGTTGGTAACTTATGAAGCCATTTACCCACATCATTTCGTTGAAATGGGCCTGGTGTGAGAGAGCTTCAAAATGTGCCACTTTGTTGATGGGTGCTCATTCTTCTGGCAACAGAGGTTTTAAATCTGGAGGATGGCCATCCATCGAGCTTGGAGGAAGTAAAGGAAGAATATGTCAAAATGTACTTCAACAATCACAGGTAAGTCACCGAAGAATATAGATGTACTGAATTTGTCCCCTTTAAGCAACTCAGAAAACTTTTATGCAAGCTTCAGGAGGATAAACTGCTTCTGCCTTGTGAGTTGTGTATGTACACACAGTTTCAGGCTATAGGAACAAACAAGAAGCAAAATTATTGCAGAGCAGGCTGAGCCAACCCTTAAAAGCAACTCATTTTGTAGCATCATATCATATCAGTCCCAGACCCAAACCCCTGTTATATTTTCTTCTCTCTGCCAATGTAGTCCTTTTCTTAACAGGATTTGGGTAGCCTAGCAAGTTATTTGGGGGGAAAGTAGCTGCTCATAATAAAAGCTTGTGTCCAATAAAGTTTTACTCAGAGCAGACCTATTGAAGTTAACAAACTAAAGTTAGCTAGGGTGATCCATTTCAGTGGGTCCGCTGTGACTGGATAAAATCAACAGCCAGTCAATCTCTCATCCCCTAAATATTTTCTAGCTTTCCTTTTCTTGCTTCTAGTGCTGCTGCATCCCCTCCTTCAAATTCTGCAAGTCAGAGTGGCGCTACCGTCTGGTACGTGATTCAGGAACACGAAAAGACCTCGGTAGGGGAGGATGTGACTCTGAGGCTGACGCAGTCGCCAGCTGCCTCTTCTCCTGACCTCATGGAGTTTGAGCGGTATGTGAAGCTTTTCCATTGTTTCTTCCTTTGGAACAACCCACCTGCTAACGTTATAGAGGACGGAAGTTTCTGAGTCCTTCCCTGATACAAGAAAGACACCAATAGCTGCAGGATAGGGTGGTTTCTGTGGGTCTGACTTCACCCTTCATAGGACTCCCTAACGAGAGAAACTGTGCCCTGTGGAAATTCTGCTGGAGTGATTGGTTACCTTTGTATAGGGGAAATTATTGGGTTGTCTTTGTTTTATGTATTTTGCATTTTTTATATTGTCATTGTTATATTTTATGCTGTTAGCCACCCTGAGATCTATAGGTATAGGGCGGTATACAAATTTAATTAAAAATGGTAATAATATAGTCCCTGACACTTTTGCACTGGCATACGTAACATAGGAAGGCCACAGGAAAGCAGCTCCATTTGTCACAGAGCTTTGCAGCTTTTAGAAAATTCTTTTCCCCTGTGAAATAGAGGAAATGTTTGCTCACATCTGTCATAGTCAACAGAATAGCTTAAACGGCCTGAGCACTGTAGAACACACACACACACACACACACACACACACACACACACACACATATATATATATATATATATATATATGCAGGTTTTGGTGTCCTCGGGTGTCTTCCCGTGTAAAAGTTGGGGTGTCTAGGCGACGTTTCGACGAGGTCTCACTCGTCATCTTCAGGCTGGTGCTTTCGGCTTCTTGTTACTGGAACAGAGCAGGATCTCAGTGTTTGAGTTCCTATAAATACTGTTGAGGGGGTGTGGTGTATAGCCTCCAATGTTCTGGGCAGAGAGGAAGTTCCCAGGCTAGTGTGTCTTTTCTTCTTTTGTTCCTTAATTACTTGAGGGATATCTTGAGTGATTACTTGAGTGATATTCTGAGTACCACTTAGGTGGGTCATTAGGTGTGGATTAGTTGCTAAAGCCTTCGTGTCTTGACCTCTTGAACTTGTGAAGAGTTTTTCTGAGAGTTTTTCAAGTTTTTCTTGAACTTGTGAAGAGTTTTTCACAAGTTCAAGAGGTCAAGACACGAAGGCTTTAGCAACTAATCCACACCTAATGACCCACCTAAGTGGTACTCAGAATATCACTCAAGTAATCACTCAAGATATCCCTCAAGTAATTAAGGAACAAAAGAAGAAAAGACACACTAGCCTGGGAACTTCCTCTCTGCCCAGAACATTGGAGGCTATACACCACACCCCCTCAACAGTATTTATAGGAACTCAAACACTGAGATCCTGCTCTGTTCCAGTAACAAGAAGCCGAAAGCACCAGCCTGAAGATGACGAGTGAGACCTCGTCGAAACGTCGCCTAGACACCCCAACTTTTACACGGGAAGACACCCGAGGACACCAAAACCTGCATTCCTGTACCCGTGAAAATCTACGAAAGCATATATATATATATATATATATATCCCATACAAGCTTGGGATAATGTTTTGTTGATACAAATGACAAGCTAAGACCTAGCTTGATGCACATTTGTGATGACTTATCTTCTATTGCTGCTTTTCTTAAGTATTATATGCCCACCACATAACATAATGTTATAATTCTGCACTATAATCTGCAATTCTCTTTTGAGGGTCAGGCTGAAATAGAGGTATCAATCCAGCTTGGCCAGCAGGTGGCGCAAACCTGCTTCTCTCATACACTTTATTGTGGCCTTTTCTAATTAACAGATACTGAGTTCTTCGACTGTCCGCAAAAGGTTTAGCCAGCAAAATAAGCACTTTACTCCTCACAAAACCTATACAACTCCCTTTGTGGTTTCTGCTTCCTCCCTTCCCACCTTCAGTGATACTCCTTAGAGCAAGTCTGACCAGGTCTGTCACGACAAGAGTGAACAACTGGCTGTTGCTGTGCAATAATAGGGCAAGCACATGTGTCCTCTTTGGTTCTGTAATCAGATGTGACACAGTTGTGACCTTCCCTTTTAGTGGTTGGATAGCTCAGCTGGTAGAGCATGAGAAACTTAATCTGTGGGTCATGAGTTCGAGCCCCACGTTGTGCGAAAGATTCCTGCATTCCTGGGGGTTGGACTAGATGACCCTTGGGGCCCCTTCCAACTATGGGTCTATGTACTATGGCTAGATAGTTGGGCAACACAAGAAATCAACTCATTCTCTTCCCCCCCCATGCACCCACCTACCCTAAATCATAATTTAGGGAAACTTCCAGTGAGTTAACAGGCATAATAGACTACTGAATAGGGTGACGTGTTTAACACAGCTGAAAACAAGACCATATATGTTCCGTCACCAGGAGAAATGCTGGGTGATTCCCTGGCTTGATACTTTGGTGTACAAAGAGAAGGGCCCATTGCTCTGTTGGTGGTTCACTTGTGCATGCAGAACGTCTGTCCCAGGTTCAGACCTTGGTTAACTCCATTTAAAAGAAGAAGAAAAGGCTTCAGGTAGCAGGAAAGAGCACTCTCTGCTTGATCCTCCTGGAAATCTATTAACCATTAGAACAGACCTGGGAGGAGGCAGCTTCCTAAATTGTGCCACCTTCTCATGGCTACTACCAAATATATGAGTCACAAAAGGGACTACCTGGTTGGTCTCTGCGCTATCGGATGCTATCCAGACCACATTCTAAAAGCTGTCTCCTTTCCTCTCTTATCTAGATACTTACATTTTTACAAACAGACAGTAGACCTGCTGGTAGATAATGGGGTTGTGAGCCCCGAAGACGTTACTCTTCCTGTGGTCTCCACAGCCGTTTCCCACCTGTGGCAGGGCCTCCCTGAAGAGAGGAGGGACGGTGTCCTGCAGTACTGTAATCAGAGGCAGAATTTCATCACTGAGGTCAAGATGGCTTCCCAAGAGCCTCCTTGTACTGAGGGCAGTGTGAGGGACAGCGGAGCTAGTCAGGAAGCCAGCGGTTCGCTAGTATCCACACCAGAGGAGGTGAGAAAGCATCACTCTTAAGGTAGGATTCAAGCTTCAGAGTTCTAACCAGGACTGGCTCTAAGGTTGAAGTGGCCCTGGGCAAAGCACCTTTTGGTAGGCTCCCTCCTCCACCTGTAGCTTCTGCAAGAAGCAGTGCCTCCCTCTGACAGCAGCTAGTAGTGCCTTAACCAGTGTGCTCTAAAAAGGGCAGGCAGCTGATCCAACTGACTGCTTTATTTCTCTGCATGGGATTTATAGCCAGTCTTACACCATAATGTCCCAGGGCGTTGCTTATCAATGAAACAATGATCACACGAGGCCCACCTTACCCATAGAGGCTCGGGGGCGCCAGTTTCTGGAGGGCACCAGGCAAGAGTCCAGGGAACACCGAATGAGCCAGGGTGCGTGCGCCACTCCCGGCGAGCGGCAGCTCGGTTTTTTCCCTTTTAGCCTGCAGGCGCCAAATTCTGTGCGGTGCCAGAAGGCTAAAAGGGGAAAAACCGAGCCAATGCTTGGTGGGAGTGGCGCAACACGCGCTCAGCACAGGTCCGCGCGCTCGGTGTGCTGCCTGCCATGGCCACCGTGGCACGAAGCAGACAGCTGAGCTGACAGGAGGTGCCGCGGCCAGCCTCAACCTCTTCGCCGCCAGAGGAGCCAACCTCCAGCGGCTGCTCTTTGCACCATGGTGCCGGATATGCTTAAGACGGCCCTGAATCACACAATACATAAGTAGTCAATAAAATAAACAGTGTCAAAACAATACCAAAGCAGGCAATAAACAATTTCAGGCAAATGGCTTGTTAAAATCCTCAACCCACTCCCAAATGCTGGAGCACAGTGTCTCCAAAGAAGGATCAGTCTAGCAAATCACTTTGGGTGTTTTACTGACAGCATTTTTATTGTTCTCTTTTGTTGCTTTTTTCATTCTGTGTATCGCCCTGCTATGACAGGCGGTTTTACAAATAATAAATAAATGAATACATTGTGGTAAATTAAAATGATGGCTTGACTGAGCTCCTCAATGCTACGGGGAGCATTTGACTTGGATTAATAAATAAATAAATCTGATGAAACAGAAATCCAGAAGGACAGGCATCAGCAGTGGGCCCTGATGGGGTGTTAAAAAGATTCTAGTTTCTGACACTTGCCCTGGCTCCTAATCTTCAAGAATGCTGGCACACACCCCAAAAGTGTAGGGGAGGTGTAATGACCTATTTTAAAATCACTAGGATAAATTATAAACTCAGAAGGCAGGGCAGGTCCTGGGAATAAATGGCAGGACTCATTAGACGGGTGAGGAAAAATTACAGGTAAGGCAGCACCTGTTTCCAACAAAAGCTGTAAACCTGAGGTTCTCAGCTAAAGTGACCATCTTGAAATGAAGGAAGAAAAATGTTTGAGCCCCTCCAGACATAAACAGCACGGTGACTGGGCAGGCAGGCAAAACTCACTTATGGAGAAGGGTAAAGAGGTCAGCAATCAAAGCAAGCAGTAGCATCAGCCCCATGTAATTTGAATGGGTGGGTGGGTTTACATATAGAAATTTTATGAAATAAATGAATAAAATAACAATGTATAACAAGCAACAAGAGACCCTTGCATTAGGAAAAATACAAAAGATTGCAGAATTAAATCTCGACAAGGTTGAGCTGCCAATATGAATAATTAAGGTTAATATTTATATCAGGGGTCGGCAACATGCAGCCCATGAGCCAGATGCGGCCCACGAAGACCGTTTTACCAGCCCACAAGCCGCCCCTGCTCCGAACTGCCTACTCGGTGAGTCCCCCGCGCACTGCGCTAAACCGACGCAGTGCGGGAACTCGCTGAGTGGTGCCCAAGATCGTGTCTGCGCACGCGCAGATATCAGAAATCTCATCTGTGCATGTCTAGACTCCAAAAATTGCTTCTGTGCAGGCGCGATTTCTGGCGTCGCACTGCGCCAGTCCAGCCCACAGACAATCTCTGTGGGAGTGATCCGGCCATTAGCAGCAAAACTTCGTGTACCGCCAAAACTTCCACCAAAACTTCTGCTGAGGCAATCTCATTGCTTTGCAAAGTCTCCCTTCATATAAAGAGAATAACCATACTCTGTGGCAGTTCTCCATGCAGTGTGGACTCCCACTTCTCATCACCCCTAATCAGTATTCAGGAATGATGGGAGCTGGAGTCCGTCAACATCTGGAGGTCCACAGGTTTCCCATCCCTCCTCGCCTTCACACTTGAGGAATCTTGGTTACAACTAGGCTAAAACAGAAACATAAAACACAGATACGATTCACATGCTGCAGAAACATTCACTGTGTTATAGAAAGGTGGTTTAAACCCAGTTATGTGCACACAGCCGAGTTGGATCTGGAATCCAGATGATGCAGTTTAGCACAATGCTAGAAAAGGATGGAGCTACCAGCACGATCCCTACCTTTCACTGACGCTGTTGTGAATAACTGACCCAGATTCAAGGGTTACAGAGAATTAAAAAGTGACGCTCACAGTGAAACTAGCTGGCTTCTGTCCCACACTTTTTATTAATTATGGCCAACTCTTATAAAACCAGGAAACAAAACACGACCTACCCTAATAATAGCCTGTTGTTTTTTAAGAGATTAAAAACTAGATTTTTAAAGAGATGATTGACACTAAAAGCTTTATTGCTCATGAGTTCCAAGTTCCTTCCATGTTTGTCCATCTGCATTCCTTTGTCATGCAGAATTGTGAGGTGTGTGTTTTTTGTTAGATAAAGTGCTTCGCAGAATACCTTCCCGTGTTGTTGTTGTTGTGAGTGGCATAGTGTTCAAACAAGACTCTTAACACCATATCTAGCTGAGAGCTAGTATCCAAAATGCCATCTCCCTCTTTTTTTAGATCCTCTTTGAAGATGCATTCGATGTGGCAACTAGCTTCCTGGATAGAAATGAAACCCAAGAAATGTCCAGCCAAAGGTAATAGGCTCAGTTCTGTGGACTGCCAAGATCATGGGTCGGCAAACTAAGGTCCAGAAGGCGGATCTGGCCCAGTTGCCTTCTGGATCCGGCCCAGGAATCGCTGTGTGGATTGGTGTGTGGATTCTGATTGTTCGGGCTGCGCCATTCCCCCCCTCTCCCCCCCCCACACCACGGTGGCGCCTCCTCCCTCCCTCCTCCTGGCTTATCCCTGCCCTGCCTAGAGGGGGAAGGGGGCTGGGCTTTGTTGAACTGCAGTTGGCTGAGCGCCATTTTTAGCAGCCCCTCTCCGGAGCCAGCCCTTTCACGCCGCTCATCATCCCGCCTCCACCAGCCCCTGCCGCTTGCAAGGCTCACTATAATCTCTTCTTCTGTTTGTAGCTCAGCATTCACAGGCTGTACTTCAGAAAGCCAAGAGGATTACCATCACCTCTACCTGCGGATCATCAGCTTCTTGAAGAGCCTGTTTTTTGCCAACACACAACCTTCCCAGGTAGGACTTTGCAAAGTGCTTGTTATAAGTGCCCACCCCACCCAAATATAAACTTGCAGGTAATGTTAGGACCGCCTGTTGTGTTGTTGAAGATATAAGAACTACCACATCACTGCAAGTAGGTTAAATTAATGCACCATTTGAAGGCCTTTTTCAGAATGCCTTGCATATATTTCAGAGCTAATTGGGTGCAACGGCAATTTTCACTTCACATTTGCCTGTTTGTCTCTCAGGCAGTCTTTCAGTTGTAACATGAGGGTATACCTAACTGCTCTTCAGGTCATGGGTGAATAGGGCTTTCACAGGGGCAGGTGCCCTATTACAGAACTGCTATCCCCAGGGTGCAGCATTTGCCTGTAGTGTGCTTGTTGTTGTGGAAGTCCAAACTGTCTATGTTTGATATATCGATAGCAGACTCATATAATCTGAATGTGGATCTTCTATATAGCCCAAACAGCAGCATCTATGCACAAGACAGTTCTTTTAAGACTGAGCCTGCTGAGGAAGGAAAACAGAAAATGGGGAAGGGGGAATAGAGCAGAGAATCCTGGAGAGGAGCACCGCTGGCTGGTACTCTGAGCAGCTGCACTGTATAGACTATAACATTTTGTGTCCTTGCTGTGAAGCCTTCTTTTCTATCTGGCTTAATGCATCAGGAACCAAGGAGAAGGCAGAAGCTTTGCAAGGATTCTTCCAAGTGCCCCAGGGAGAAGCAGCAGCTTGGGGGTGCAGGGAGTAGTGGGACAAAATATTCATAAGGCTGAGAAGGGAAGAGAAAAGAAGCTGTGAGCAGCAAATGCCCTGTGCAGTGAGATGGGTCTCTAGCTGTTTTTGGACTACAACTCCCATCACCCATAGCTAGCAGGACCAGTGGTTGGGGATGATGGGATTTAAAGTCCAAATACAGCTGGATTCCCAAGTTTGAAAAGCCCTGGATTAGAGCATAGAAGCAGTACAGGTGGATGATAGAAGCCATCTCCTCTGGACAGGAGATCCTGGGAGCTGTAGTTATGTAAAGGGGACCTGGGTATCCTGAGTAAATCTCAGCATCCTCAACAGACTAAAATTATGTGACTCATCTGCAGGCTGATGATGACTAAGACTGTCCATCCCAGTTCAACTCATTCATAACAGTAGAAGAGAGATAACTGCAAAGTTTAATTGGGCAGGAATAGCAGGTTTCTAGTTGAGAGATGATGGGCTGAACAGGAAGAAGTAGGAGGACTTGTTTCCTTTTTTTAAGAAACAGTGGCACCCAGTTTCTTTTTTACATAACTGCAGGAGAATACGCATCAATGAAGAGAAATGTGCAGCTAGGATAACTGGTTTCAGCCACAGCTTTTGTCCTTGCTTAATGCCATATCCATTAAAGGCTTCACATTATCCCTAGAGACCAGGATGAGGTGTCAACACAAAGTTCTTCAGGGCTGGGCACATGCATTAAAGTCTGTGACACTGTTATCTCTGAACAATATAAGAAGGGCTGCTTGTAATAATACTGTGTGTATCCTATACTTACAACAGCAACAAATCACACAGTTTTCCATCAGGAGCAGTTTTCCATGTGGAGCAGGTAGAGAAGGCCCAACTGCAACGATCAAAAGACTTAGAACCACTTTTTGTTTTTAAGAAAGAGGCTGGAACTCTAGAATGTTGAAAGGTGGCTGTCATGATGTGCCACACCGTGATGAAACTTTACAGAACTTATGAATCGTCGAGGGAGAGCAAACAGAGTAAAAAATACTCGTTCTCAAAATACTAGAACTTGGGGCCATTCACCGAAATTGCTTTAGCACCCATTGCCTAGGCATTCCATGTCTGGAGTTAGTATGGTTCAGATTAACAAGGTTTGGCTACTTCTGTTGTACTTTGCTGGGTTAAATGGACATTTGCTCTTATCCTTCAAGGCAGTTTGAACTGCATCCTTTTTCTTTCTGTTTTTGTGGCACCCTTTCCCACTTTTGAAAGGAAAAGGTATTGTTCCGTTTAAAGCAAGAAATAGCTAGCAGAGCTCTCGTTCTTTCTCCTTGTGTGCATGCCCAGCTAACTTAACTCGGCTAACATTTGCTTTACCTCCACAAAGCTGCCATGTGTGGGTTGGGTAGAAGTGAAGTAATGACAGATGTGCCCGTCAAAATCAACAATTATAAACATTTTGCTGGGTGGCAAGCTTTGAGCTGCTCCATCCAATGAATCAGCTTGTCCCAGAGCTCCCTTTTTTAAAATCATATAAAGGGAACATTTAAACTCCATTGGCATGTGGGAAGGGGGAACCCCACCGGCAGTAACTAGATTCTGCTAGTTATCATTACCTAGGATAGGGATGGGAGATCTGCAGCCCTTCCAATGTTATTGGACACCCAGCTTCCATCAGCTGGTCAGGGCTGGATGAGGATTGGAGCCTGACCACATCTGGAGGGCCCCAAGCCAGCTACCCCTGTCCTAGAGAAAGAATATTCATTTATCTGTTTTGCTAATGCCATTCACTGCTAATAAGAGCTTTATCCCTCTCCCCCTGCGTATGTTTGACAGGAAGAGGTTCTCCAGCTGGATTATGAGACTGTGATGCTGAGATGCACAGAGACATTTGATGACGAAGATTTGTAAATTAAGATGGTTCTATTAAGCATGTGCGGGGCGGGGTCCTAATTGTTACTTAATGACACCCCTCAGCCTATGCCACCATGAGAAGAGATGCTGCTTTAATTCCTTGGTGTTCATCATGTTTAAAGGAGTTCTGTTTGTTTATACTACATAATTCTTCATTGGTTAAATTATTTGTACTTTTTACATGTATTGCAGTTTGATATTTATAAAGTTAAAATTAAAAAAAAAAGAAGTACGTCTGAAATTTGGTGCTGAGAAGTGCAAAACAAGACAGGTTGGGAAGAAATAGCCACCATTTCTACTCATAGCATATAGCGCGATGGAGCAACTCCCCTCTGGAGAAAGGTTGCAGCATTTGGGACTTTTTAGTTTAGAGAAAACAGGGAGCATGACAGAAGCTGGTAAGATTGTGGGTGCCATGGAGAAAGTGGCTAGAGAAAAGTTTTTCTCCTTGAAACACTGGAACTTGGGGACATCCAATATTGGAAGATTCGGGACAGTGCATAGCAAAACTATGGAACTCATTCCCACAGCAGGCAGGAGTGGCCGCCAACTCAGATGACTTTAATTCGTGGAGGATCTGCTATGGATGGCTACTAGCCATGATGGCTGTGCTGTGCCCCCACAGAGGCAGTAATACCAGTTTCTGGAAACCACAGGAGGGGAGAGTGCTCTTAGCTCTCACATCAATGCGACTTCAGTTTGTTTTTTGCTAGTGCACACACCAGGGGTGTTGATGGCTGGGGATGTCTACCCAAAGGTGTTCACACGTTGAGTAGAGACAAATTAGGCAACGCATTAAACTGCAGCATCTTGCAGCCAAGTACAGTGGTACCTCGGGTTAAGAACTTAATTCGTTCTGGAGGTCTGTTCTTAACCTGAAGCACCACTTTAGCTAATGGGGCCTCCCGCCGCCGCCGCTGCACAATTTCTGCACGATTTCCTGAAGCAAAGTTCTTAACCCGAGGTAATATTTCTGGGTTAGCAGAGTCTGTAACCTGAAGCGTATGTAACCCGAGGTAGCACTGTACAGGATACATATGCAGTAAGCAGGAGTGTGAACACAGCCTCAAGGAGGCAGCAAATTTCCTACACATGTATGCACACTGCAGTGAATATGCTGCCTGATTTAGCAAAGATGCAATATTTGAAAACCAGCTGCTATCAATATCTGCAAATGTCAGGGATGGTGGTAGTTCAGTGACATCCAAAGGGCACTAGTCTGGGGAATACTGGATCTTCTTCATTAGGAAGACAGCAAAATATGGGGTGGTTTTCTGCCAAGTAAAAACACTTTAACAAAAAATAATAATCATGATTTATTTATTTTTCAGTACAGAGTTTGCTTGTGTACAGAGCATTTTTTCATACAAGATTGTCAAATCCACAATATAGGATAATCCGTTTTAATGGCACATTGAGAAGGTGAAATTAAAAGCACACACATTTGGTGGGGTAGAGCTTGTTAATACAGGGTTAACACTTCACCCACAGTGTTGTATACAAAAAGTGGTTTGAAGTGGTAAAAAGTGTCGCCCAACTAAGTTTTAATCTCTTAATTGCACAGTTGGTTGAATTTGCACACACTAGCATGAGGATAAAATAATCACTTTGAAGAAAAATGCTTGTCCTCAAAATTTAGATAATGTGCACAGCAGATGCCATCTTAGGAGAGATGATAGCTTGAGTCCTAGTTTCCCAAGAATAGAACAGAGTTCATGTTCACAGAACAAGGCTTTCCTGCATGGGCATAGCCAGAATTTTTGTTGGGCAGGGCAGGCTTTTGTGAGGGGGGCAGAACCTCTGATTTGTATTGATTTTAATTATGGGGGGCAGCTGCCCTCCTGCACCCCCATGCTTTCCTGCCTCTGCCCCCCCCCCCCCAGATCTGCTCCTTAGGATTGATAGACCCTTGAAAATGGCCTGGACTTCGGTACAGAGGGCTGTCGACGGAGGCGGCTTTGACAGAAACCACTCTCTCCCACCCCCTTACAAGAATGGAAGAACAACTTGGGAGCCAAGGTTTTGTCTTGTGCGCGAGAGAGGATGAGTGCCGTACCTAAGATGCTTTTATTTGCCACCTGAGGTGTTTTGCAAATACCTCTATTAAAAAATAAAAGTTCAAAATTTGCTGCTGGGTTGATTTTAAGAGGTACAGTAATTTAAAAAAAACTATGTAACCAACTGCCTTACTGTGTAGAATGAGAGCTTCTGATCCATATGTGATTGGTGGCACTCATTCAAAAATGCACACATGCAGCAGCTAGCCTTGTAAGCAGTAGGGACTTCATGTATCTGTTCTGCATGTGGTAGAACGGAATCCTTTCTTCCATCCTCCAGCTGAGCTGACAGATTGCATCTGCTGTTCCTGGAGCAGACCAGAAAATCCACACCTGCAGTTTCCCATCAGCCAATGGTTTATAGGCATTGTGGTTCAATAACAATTGGAGGGCCACAAATTCAGCCACCCCTGAACTAAGCATATGTAAGCAAAATCCCATGGCAGAGTCAGGACAACTGAACACATGGAGCAAGAGTATATCATTACAAATACAATCTTACGTAAGACCTTGTGTAGGGCATCTTAAGTGGCTGATACTGAGAAACCACATAAAAACACCCATGTAAGAGCAAAGGATAGAAAGGTAGGCAGGAAACTTAGTCACAGCCCATGCTGATGTTATCGCTTATCAGACACCACCACACAGTGGGAGAAGAATGGGGCACGCACAGTGCAGGCTTGTGACTAACACAAACAAACCCTTTTGTCAAAAGAGCAATTAAAATACTTTTGTCTGCGGCTCAGGTGTAGGATAATTTGTGTACAGCTCTTGCCCAGTAAACTGCACAGTGTTTTCAGGTAAATACCAAGTGAGTGTAGGTGGGATCGCGAAAGCCTGAACATGGGGAGAAATTGAGGAAGGATCAGCAAAGTGGAAATGGAGAGCTGTGAACAGATAGGAGGCAACAGCAAAAGAGCTCTGTAGTATGAACAGATAAGCAGAAATGGAAAGAAACAACACACAAGTGTAAAGGAAATTCATCCTGTCTGGCCTAAAAATACCAGATATGTATTTGGGGCATATTTTGAGCAAGGAGAATTTCTACAAAAACAGAAATAGAGAACAGCCCTAAGAATTTGGCAGAGGCACAGAGTTTTATTTGGGCATCAGCACTGTATAGAAGAGTCATGCCAGTAGTCACCAGAATGAAACTTGGCTTTTCAAAAGTTTTTTCAAAAAAGTTGAATGTGAATGCCCTAGTCTTAGTCTACCACAATTAAAGCTTTGTGTGTCTTAGAAGGCCCTTTGGGATAATGCCAACAGTAAACCTAAGAGGTCTCTTGTTATATACACACAGGAAGATGATCAAGAGTCCATCCCTGAGGAAAGTTTATTGAATCCTTCCTTTAGGATAGATTTAAAATACAAAGTACAACATTTTATGAATATAATCAAGATCAAGCGTATCTTGTTCTGTGTGGCTTCTCACATGGAAGTCACTGACTTCCATGAAAGCCTAAAAGCAGCTTAGAACTATTTTATAGACTTTGGAAGCCCCAGTTTAATTCAGGAGCCTGTTGTAGCAAACAACACAGGTGTTGAGCTACAACTCCCGACGTTACTGACCACTGGCCATGTTGAGCTAAGGCTAATGGAGTCCAACAACATTTGACGGCCCACAGGTTCCCCATACTTATGGACTCAACAAAGCCGAAGACGAAAAGGTGTGGGAGCAACAAAGTATTGTGACACACACATTAAGCAGTCTGGCCAACTGCACATGATCAGAGACAAAAGCTGAGGCTGGATTTAAGGAAGCCTAGGACAGCAGCTTTGCTCCTTGGAACTACCGTAGCTTGTCTAGTTACTCAGAAACTCAAGAACCACGGATTCAATTTTCAGGAAAAGAGTTTCCCACGGTAGAAAGGAAAACAAATTCTTGTCTTGGGTGCTGCTGGGCTCCCTAGCCAGGCTATCCCTCAAACTGGTACTGTATTCTCGCAGCAGAGAAATTGGCACACATGGCCAATTTGCATTGGTGGCAAATTATGGAGTCGTTTGCCAGAACTTAGTCTCTTGCTACAGCCACAATCTCGTTGATAAGAAACCAGAAAAAAGGAAGATGTTGCTTCAATGGCTTAGCAAGTTAAGTTTGTTTACTGATGCAGTCTTATATTCTCGTGTCGATGTTTATTTCTGTGTCCTTTTCTGAATTAAATTTGCTTTTGTTCTCCTGTGCATAATTATTGCGCTCCTTTGCATTGTTTCTGGCTGGCCGCTTTGGGCACATTGGGAGGTACTGAAACCAGTCAGCAGCACAGAACTTAGAACCTATTCCGAAAGGTAGATCATAGACGTCCGAGGTGTTCACAGTATCGTCAGATTCCTCCTTATAACCCTCTTTCCATGCTAGGAGTCCCCGCTCTTCCAAGCTCCCTACCAAAGGAAAACAGAATAGTTAGCAGAGACTAATAGAAAAAGGCATCCTATAGAATAACAAAGCAATTTCGTGCCATCGCTAAGCATCAGCCTCTCGTGCCACAAAAAGTATGAATCTCACATAAACACAAACACAACAGTCATTTTGGAGTATAAGAAAAAATAGAAGCCATTCACAATAAGCATCAGTTCTTGCAAGACAACTTCCCAGTTATAACAAAAATATGAAAAGCGTCAGGAATGTAACTCTCATACTCTTTTTGAATATGGGTAAAATGCTAGGCATGGTGTAATGACTGAAGTACACTGAATATATTATAAACACAGCTCTGTCATGCTAATTGCCATTATAAACCTGTAAAGTGGTTTTGACTGACTTTCTGCTACAAAAAGCAAAACTTGAGTGCAGTTTTGCCCTCAGAACCCACAAGGCTTGCTCTAAAAAGAAACCTCCCTGATCCCAATCTGTGTAGCGGCCACACCCTCGGCCTCCTCAAATCAAAATGCTGAGGACAATTGTACTGAATCAGCAGAGTGCTTTCAGGGACGGCACAGCACCTGACACAGGTGCAGCTACACAGCTGCAAAAGCCTGGAAGGCCTGCCAATGTTTCCCGCCATGGGCCCCCCCTAACATTTTCTCCCCAGACTAGTGATCTGAGAGGCACCAGGTGGCTGAGTAGAGCTGCCATTTTAATTTCCCACAATGCCCCTGGCATAGCATTGCTCTAGGATACTCCCCACCCTCACGGCTACTGTTGACA